GATTTATATGTATATTATTCTGTTATATGCATTGAAAATAATACAGATAACAAAATTTATCGTAGTAAAATATTCATTTCGTATTTTAAACTGATATTATCTTCCAGATACGAGAAAACATTTATGTAAATATTAAAGTTAAAATGTTTGTTTAAGAAAATTTATTGAAAATACTCAGATTTAACTTTGTAAAAGACGATAGAATATAATAAATTACGTTGTTGGACTTAATTCGTCGCGTCGATGTTTAAAATAATTTTGAAAAGTTATCTTGTTGATTGGTTATAAATATTTTAACGGTTATTGGTTGAGAAATTTCAAAAAGAATAGGTAGACAATTATTCGTTTGTTTAAATTTTTCGACCAATCCTAGTCAAATAAACGAAATGTTAGTTCTTCGGGCTTCGTTTTAAATATCCCAACGAATAATGTAGCTAAAATAATAATAATTTGAAGGCAATATATAAAAATAATATAAATATTGTATATTCTAAAATATAATTTTTATGTATTACAATGAGAACATTTCTAACTTTTTTTTAAATTTGACACTATAGAGACTTCTTTCATATATTTCTAAGGGAACATTACTAATTTCGTTTCTCGTTGTGACAAACAGTACGTTTATATACTTTTCCGTAACGCAAAATATTTTCCTTAATGCATTTGAACTATTTTCAAAATCTTTCGTGTAGTCCTAAATTACGACTACACGAAAGATTTTAAAAATAGAAATTTACATTTCTTTATATGTAACCAATGATTCTATTGTGTACAATAACTCCTGTAAATATAATATGACATTATGGCAGCCATTTCTTGTTTCGTGGCATGACTTTAAAAAGAAAAAAGCAAGATCCGCTTTCAAAGAAAAGTAATAAAATTGTCATGAAACTAAAACGACATTATTTTCTCTAACTGAATTAATACATAACAGATTTTTGTATGGTTTCTCGTCATTTTTAATCATGTAATATATATACGTGTGAGGCAATATATATAATTCTATCCATAAGAACTTATAATATATTTTTCGAATCACTTCAAACTATAAAACTGTACAGAAATTCGAATTTTGAAATCAATCAATCAAATAAAAGGAAACAAGAATGGACACTAATTGAACAAGTCGCGTAAATTCATTTCTAAATTGTTATAAAATGAATCGTTATAAATTAAAATACGCTGAATTTACTTTATTTTTATACAAATAATTATTGCTTAATTAAAATATTTTAGTAGACCTATTTAAAATTTGTATAATAAGAAAAACTTCCGGCAGGTGGAGTCAAGTATTTGACTCCACCTGCCGGATTTTTTAAACAAAGCACATATAAACTACATGCGAAGAAACATGTTATATAAAACTAAAAAATATATATATATTTAATAAGTTCGTATTATAAAGTTATAAATTTCTATATAAATTATATAAACAATGCTTTGTATTATTTAAAATATTTTAATAAATTAAAATTAAATTTAAAGAGTCCGGCAGGTGGGGTCGGATACGATTTGACGCCACCTACCGGATTTAGTTTCCGTTTGGAATTTGAAAAATTCAAGACGGAAATTTATACGGATTGTAAAGGAAGTTTGCGAAGGGAAGGGGAGAAAAAACAAATAATTTTGCGGAAATCAAAATGCTATTCGTTTCGACATTGACAGCAAGAATATATAAAATTCTTGGACCATCATTTCAATCGAAGAGGTTCGTTGTATCTCCGACCGCCTACTGACACTGTGTAGGATACTCTTTTCCACACAACATCGATCTTTAGCAAGACTGGCACTTATTGAATTGGGTACTTCTCCACGCCATTTAGATGTAATAGAATAATATTTGATGATTTAAAGGGCTTTACTTTATCTGATAAATTTATTTTTTATTTTTTGCAAGGAAAGTGATCACGCAAAAACTAGCAAATCCATTAAAAACTCATTAAAATTTAATTAAGCTTAACTTATAAATAATATTTTTCTATATTTCCGGACTTTTTTATAATAATAAATGATATATATTTTTTTAAATTAACAAGCGATTTTATTGTATTCATTCATTTCATTTGTGGTTAAATGTATCACTGTGCAAAATTTTTGAATTAATTAATAGACTAATTTTTATAATTTATATTAATATATGCAAATTTTAAAATATTTTCTGTTTTTCTTTCATAAAAATGTAGACTTTTGTGTTGATATTTTAAGTTTAAAGTAGTTCGCTATGCTTGTATAACACTCAAAGCGCGTTACTTTGAAAACTTAATTGGCTAATTATAAGTTTATAATAACTTTACGTTAATAAAGTTAAGTGTTTTTCGTAAAAAATCAATACTGGTTTAAATGTAAATTCATGATAATGTAAATTTGATAAACTTTCTTTCTGTGCTGGTGCATTTTTAAATCACTTATTGTGTTCTGGATGGATAATATTCGATATTAATTACCTACTTGCATTCACAAAATGCACAAAATTCATAGAACTTTAAATTTTAAGAAAAATAAAAAAGCAGATAAAGTAATTATCACGCGCGGTCTTTCAAATTTTTTCTTCGCTTCGATGCGATACGTTTGAAGATATTACCTTAAGAATGCGTATTTTTTAATTTAAATTTAAAAAATTAAAAATCCAGTATATAAAATTCATTTCTTAAAGAAAAAAAGTACAAAATATTCCATTATATTTCAAATAATTTATTTTGTTTAATGTTTCTATACCGCCACATATTATTAATCACAATTCAATAAAATTAATTACAATTTTTAAATAAAAATTCAATGAAATTGTATTAAATCATTTAATTAAAATTAAAATTAATTAAATTTTTANCTGGTTGGCAACTCGCTCGTATGTATATCCGTATACAGGAACCACAGCATGAGAACCGTCACCAATTACTTTATCGTTAATTTGGCAGTGGCAGACTTTTTTTTAAATTATAAATTTAAACATCAAAATAAGCCTATACTTTGTAAATATTTTAAACTGTGTAATATTTATTTTTTCGCGATTTATGAAATGTTAATACATTTATCATATCGAAACTATAGCATTATATAATATAAATTTTAATATTTGTACTTGTGTATTTAAAATATTTATATTTCGAAGATGTAATTATGAGAGGAGTTTGTGTAAAGTTACAGAACATTCTTCTGTACATACAATACGTGGAGGTAATCTTATCACCAAAAAACATGCTTAAACGAATGGAAAAGAGTTGTTTGGATAAAGAACCTCGAAATTTTTTATGTTTATCTAGAAGCTTAACTTATTTTTACTTATGATTTCCTCTTTTCGATTATTCTCTTCTACACTTTCTTTACCTTAAGCAGCCAACTACGCTCTTTGTACATCAATAAATCACGTTTAAATGTTGATTATAAACACAAAATAGTATATTTTAAGTAATTTTATTTCATTTAAATCGATAAAATATTGCCGAAACTAAATTTAAAATTGTATAATCGAGCTATTAATACTTTTAGAGAGATAAAGTGAACCAATTTTAAATGAAAAATGATGCAGTTTTTAATTAAAAGCAGCTAAAAAACTACTTAAAATACTTTTATTTATTTTTCCTATATTAAATTTGATTAAATTATAAAAAATTCAACAATATTTATAGTGAACAGCGTAAAGAGGGGCGAGAAATGATTTTAGTATGTCACGTCTTTAGTTAATTTTCCACATGCAAATCGAATTAGTCCATTTTCCAGGTTTATGTGTGGAGTCTTTACACGAAACTAATTTAAGTAAATATTTTAAATATTACTGTTAAGGATTAACACTATTTTATCATCCATTCTTCCAAGATAATTAAACAATTTTAACAATAAATTTTATTAATTCGATTTAACATTAAAATCTTTCGCTTGTTCGTGTCAAAGGTCATTGTATTATAACGATATATGTACTTACAATTACTTTTAAAAATTTGAAATTGTGTAATTTATATTTTTATACTCTAAATTTAAGATTTTTTTCGTATTAATAATAGTTTGTAATATAAAAAATGAAAATTATTCTTTCTAAATTTAATTTATCTGCGTCAAATTATGCTGTTTAAACTTAAAACTTTTAATTTTAATTAAATATACTAAAAACTTTATTAATTTCTGCTTAATTGAGATCGAATTAATTATTAATTTAATTTAAATAATTTAAATTATAATTAAAGATATAAATTTGAATTTTTATGTAAAAAAACAACATAAAAAATACAATTTTATTTTTGTTTACCAGAAACACGTGCTCTTACTTCAAGAAAATGTGATTTCTCAATATATTAATTTCCCAAATGTGTAATTATTCAATCCATTTAAATATTTTTTCCGTTTATTTAACTTTAATTTGTATTATAACCTAACCTAACCTAACCTAACCTTACTTCAAGAAAATGTGATTTCTCAATATATTAATTTCCCAAATGTGTAATTATTCAATCCATTTAAATATTTTTTCCGTTTATTTAACTTTAATTTGTATTATTTTGTATCCCAGAAACACGTGCTCTTACTTCAAGAAAATGTGATTTCTCAATATATTAATTTCCCAAATGTGTAATTATTCAATCCATTTAAATATTTTTTCCGTTTATTTAACTTTAATTTGTATTATAACCTAACCTAACCTAACCTAACCTTACTTCAAGAAAATGTGATTTCTCAATATATTAATTTCCCAAATGTGTAATTATTCAATCCATTTAAATATTTTTTCCGTTTATTTAACTTTAATTTGTATTATAACCTAACCTAACCTAACCTAACCTTACTTCAAGAAAATGTGATTTCTCAATATATTAATTTCCCAAAGGTGTAATTATTCAATCCATTTAAATATTTTTTCCGTTTATTTAACTTTAATTTGTATTATTTTGTATCAATAATTGAAATTTAAAAAAAAAAGAAAGAGATATTCCTCTGACGTCATTAAACTCTCCCCTATATAGACGGCGTGCCAATCGACCACTTCTCCTATTTTTGGACTTCACTACTCGAGTGTGTAGACTGCTCCGAGATTAGTTTGTCGCAACACAAGAGTTTTATGTCAGTCTTCCAATTCATAACACTAAAGAAAAGCTATGTAGTGTTACTTTTTATTTTAATTACTTTAATTTATAAATCTTCGATAAAATATTCAACAATCAAATTTGCCTTCATTCTTCTTTAGGTAGGTTTCTTTAGAAACGTTTAAAAATTAATTAAATTTAAATAAATCGAAAAATAAATTAGGGAATACAGGGATGAAAATTGTGGTTTTTATACGTTATTTTCTCATAACATTCAAAAAATTCTTGTATTTTTTTGTAAATTCAGCTGAAAAACTTTTTTATTTTAATTCTTATTTCAGGGAATTTAAAGAAAATTTATTTTTTAAAAGTTAACTTAATTCCTTACTTCACTCTTACTAATTAACATGGAAGATATTCAAACCAAACGTCGCCAATTGTTGGATTCTATAAATTACACCAACAACACCAATATTAGTCAATTGTGTACGAATGAGTATTGTGTTTCCGACGAGGACTACATAGAAATGATAGAGGCGTACATATTTCCCACCCCCTACGAATGGGTGCTGATATCTTTACACATCACAGTCTTCGCTGTGGGCCTGGTTGGCAACTCGCTCGTATGTATATCCGTATACAGGAACCACAGCATGAGAACCGTCACCAATTACTTTATCGTTAATTTGGCAGTGGCAGACTTTTTGGTGATTTTGGTTTGTTTGCCACCCTCCGTTTTGTGGGACGTCACCGAAACTTGGTTCTTCGGTGGAATCATGTGCAAGTTGGTGCTCTACTTTCAGGTTAGTTTTGCTTCTTTCTCGTTAAATTCCGAATAATTTCTATCGATTAAAACTATTTTCAGTTTAAATTTTATTTATTTTAACCCATTTTTCTACTTTAATAATCAATTCTACTTGATAAATCTTTATCAGTCGATAGCAAGGAGTCCACACAAACGGCTCTCGATGCTAGCAGATGTTAAAAGTCACGGATTTTGTAATTAATGAAGCAGAAAACTCTGTGTACAAGATTTAAAAAAAATTAATTTTTACACCAAAAAGAATAATAAAACAATTAAAATATCTATTTTAGGCCCTACGAAAATAAAATTATCTTCAAAAATTTATTTTTTAGATTTGTAATAATAAAATCATAAATTATTTATTTATTTTAAGCCCAATTGAGTCAATGGGCGCTTTGCCTGGTGAAGCACTCAATATTACAAAAAATAAGAGTTTCATTTACATATTTTAATGTTTTAACACCCGCAAAGAGCCACATTTTATTTGCTTAAAATATACAAAAATATTTATTTTTAACCCAAAAATATTAAAACTATAGAACCAGAAATTAAAATATGCTTAATTATTTAAAATTCTAATGTCTTTTTCACTCCTACAATCGATTTATTTATTTTAAGCCCTGCAGGGTCATAAGAAGAACAGAATTAAATATTCTAATGTTTTTTTAATCTTTAGATTTCTTAATGTCGTCAAACCTCTGAACAACGGCCACTGACGGGAACATAAAATGCCCGTTGCTTGGAGGTTTGTCTATAAGCATTTTTGTTCAATTCCACTAAAAACTGGCCGCAATTTAGAAGTTCGACCGTATATAAAAATTAAGCCATTAAACAATAATCTAATTTTAAAAAATGAACCATAAAGATTAAAATTAATTTCGGTTATTCTATTTTAATAAAATAGCATATTATTGGCTTAGAAACTGTTCATTTTCAGCTTACGAAATTTAAATTAAACGACAATAATTGGATATCCCTCGTTTAATTATACATTATTGAAATTGAAAACCTTTTGAAACTAAAAGTGGTCATCCGGGATTAATGCCAGATCCGAAAGTCTTTGTTATATAAAGGACACTTAAATTGTAGCGAATATCAAAGAGATTTTATAAGATCCTTTCGAAACTGTAAGAGGGGCGATCGATTATTCAGATAATTATATTCTCAAGAGATTTAAACTTATATAAAAGTGAATTTTGACACGAAAATCATTGGAACAACTCGAGAATATTCAAAGAAATCTTCGATCTCTTTTTTAAAAAAATACGATAAATTGCAGGTATTTTTAGAAATTAATTTTTGGTATTGCCCATTTGCGTCATCAATTCAAGAAGTTTGCGAAGAATTTTACTTGATGCAATCGAAATGAATTTAATTTTAATGATTAGAGGCTTGAAAAATTTCAAAAGTTTTATATTAAAAAAATCATAAAATTACCAAATTGTCGTTATTTTCAATGAAATTATCGTCGATGACACTCGAAAATTTAAGTCTCTCTTATACTCTTACACGATTCGATACTTTAAAACTTTATAGATTTAACACCGATTATACTTGTTAACTGTAATAAATTTCTTCTGGAAGTAAATTTACAGTTAATTTTACATTTTAAATTCACAAATTTATCACTTTTTAAAATAATATACAGTCAAACCTCGATATAGCGCCCTCTCTTATAGCGCCACCCTTGTACAACGTCAATCCCGAAAGAATATTCCTATTATGTATTAAATAGAGAATGCTTCAGTCTCTGTGAATTACTAATTTCACACTAAGTCACGTGATTTTACCATCAAATCAAATGATTCAGTGTAATCCTTCGGTTTAGCGCCGCATTCGATTTAGTGTGGACGCTACATCGAGGTTTGACTTTATTTATCGTTTTTTGAAGACTAAGACTAATATTTTATCGCTTTTTACCGAATTTTTACGGTTTTATATTTCAAAAATTTTACAGTTTTCTACATAAGTTTATGATAAAATTTCTAAAGACAAGTCTTTATCTTGTAAAAAATATGAAATTTAGATTTATAAAAAAAATTTAAATGACTATTTTTATTTTTTAAAAAAATCACATTAAGTTTCTTGGTAAATTGAGTAATTTATTGGATGTAAAAAAAACAAAATGACTGCTATAAACTCTTTACAAATATCGATTTATTTGAAGTTTCATCGATGATGAGGCCGAGATACTTGGATAATTTAAAAATATATCATATTACTTTACAGCAAATGACCAATTTTTATTATTATTTTTTTAAAATAAATTACCGTATACTTTTTACACTTTAAATGTCATTTAATCAATTTTATTTATTGAAATTAATGTTAATATCAATTAAGTATAAAACTATAAAATAGCTATAAACGGTCGAACCACCTAGCCGCGGCCACATGTTTCTTATTTGGTCGTCGTTCGGAGGTTATTTCGCATTCATTTATTTCCCAGAATGCGTGCGAATACTAAATAACCTACAAACAACGGACATTTTTAATATTCCCCTCGGTGTCCGTTCTTAAGAGGTTTGATTGTGAAAATATAAAATGGCATTTTTATTTTGATATTTTTAAAATTTATTTTTATATTTTTTTACAATTTCGCGTCGAAATTTTACAATTTTATATTTTTTTGTTACATTCGCAGTAAATTTTCCATAATTTTACGTCAAATTATTGCAATTTTTATAATAATTTATGTCATAAATTTACAACTTTATCATAAAATTTTTATAAATTTTCTACATTTTCTAAATAATAATTTGTACTAAAAAAATTAAACTGTAAAATTACGTTTTTACACGAAGCGCATCCGTTTGTCTGTCGTTAAATTTATCATAACTTTTTAAAATTAAAAACAAAATTTTAAAAATTGTTAAATTTAATTTATTATTGTTACATTTATGAACAAATGTTTTAATTTTTGCACTTTTTAAAATTTATTTTCTGCATTTTTTTTTATTTAATAATAATAAATTATTATTTTTATTTTGTTGTTTTTAAAAACTCTCTCAATTATGATTTTAATTATTTATTACTTTTTTAAATCTAGAATTTTTCTATTTAATTGTAATTAATGCTATTTTATATCGTTTTAATAATAATTAATTATTATTTTTCATTTTTTAACATTAATATATTTTAATTTTTAAAATTAATTAATTAATTAAATGATTTTAACAACTAAATTAAATGGTATTAACTCGATAAATATAAATTTTTTCATTGTTTAGACTTAATGATAATTTATTTTATTATTTAAATTATGCATTTAATTGTATTTTTTCAAGTTTTAATAGCAATTATTTAAGTTTTTTAATTAATTTTCTGAATTTTATAATTTTTTAAAAATAAATATAAAAAATTCAATTTATTCTGAAATGTTTAATAATATTTTATTTATCATTCTTAATTTAAAGCATTAATTTACCATTTATTAATCTACTATGAAGTTAATTTACTGGCGAATTAGTTGTAATTATTTTTTTTAATTTGAAAAATAAATATAATTAATTAATATTTTGATTAATTATCGCTCTTTTTATAGAATTAATAGCTTCAATTGAGAATTAAATGTAAAAATATCAGAAAATTTACAATAAAATTGAAAAGACATTAAAGAATTTTTTCAACATTTTAATGACGTTAACGGGTATTTCATTAAATTGCTGTTTTCTGTCAAAGAATTAGTCGAAGAACAGGAAAAAATCTGTCCAAAAATCTCATTTTCTATGCTTTAGTTCTATTGTACGTTGTACTAAAATTGGAAATGAAGTCGGAAGGGAAAAAAGTTTTGGTATAGAAAAGAACTATGATTAATTCAAAGACTTTTCTCATTTTCAATGTTTATACTCCGAGTCAAACCAATGACAGAGTAGAAAATATATATATTTCTATATATTTACTTCGGGAAATTGCTTTCATTGCGTCAAATTTCGGAAGATAAACACTAAATTCTGCTGCCAATTTTATTGCTAGTAATGCATTTCAGCGCGTAAATACGAATAATTTTCCAAATTTTCGTACTTTTTCTTGCTCTTTCCTTTATTTTCTTCTCTCTTCGTCTTTTTTTTCTATCTTTATCAGTTTTTGTGCTTCTTTTTTTTTCTTTTTCGTCTTCTACTGCTTTTTTCTTCTTCTTTTCTGTCTTCTTCATCTACTACTACTACTTTCTTCTCTACTTCCTACTACTTTTCTTTCTTTCTCTTCTTTATCTTGCCCTTCGTCTTGTCCTTCTTCATCCTCTTCTTGTTATTCTTCCTCCTCTCCTTCTTGTTCGTCATTTTTCTCTTCTTCCTCATCCTCATTTCCTCTCTTTTCCTACTACTATCTTCGTCTTCTTCCTTTTCCCTTTCTTCTTTCTTCAACAAAATCTTATAATTTTATTAAATTAAACTAAAACTGTTCACCAGAAGACAGACTTTAGTTGATTTCCTCTACACTTTTTAAAATGACAAACCAAAATTTTAAGTTTATTCTCTCTGCACAGAAATCAATGTTCTCGAGTCTTCTCTTTACATTGTATTTTTATTCTATAGTTTATTTTTATTTGCTAAAATATTTTAGAACCCAAACCCCAAAAATAACGTTTGTATTTCTTTTTAATTTAGTCACTCAATATAATTAAGTGAACCATAGATTTAAAAAAATCATCCACGATAAGATAAATGTCCAAATATGTCTTCCATCATCATTAATATTTTACTTTATGTAGGAAATGTCTGGGATATATTCTAAATTCCAATAATATATTTACGATTTGTTGGAAAATTCAAAAGAAGAAATATATGAAATTTGAAATTCAATCGACTTCTTTGTATTCATGTCTTCAGAAGATCTTTTTTTGGTGACGAGGATCATTGACATTGATGAAAAACCGATATCAATTCTCTTCAATATTTCTCACATTGGTCTAAAAATACACTAATGCACTTAATATTTCTATAAAATTCAATTGAACCTTTTTCAAATTCTTTGAACACGTGTTACCTCCTCTTGCTC